CCCCCACGCGCCACCGAGAGGAGCTGCTGCTGGTTGATCACTCGCGCGCGTGCGAGTGCGTGGAAGCACCTTTTTCTGACCGGTCAATGCTGTTGACTTCGCCGTGACGTCAGCTTTCCGGATTGGTCAAGTTTGTTCGATTCCGAGAAGATTTGATTTGCGGTCAACTGTCCGGGCCATCCAGATCTACATAAATTTTAAGCAGTAAGTTTTCTTCATCAAACCTTTAGATCCGCTGCGCATAGGTTTATGTTGAATGTTTGTCCGTGATTTGTGCATATCGAGATCCTCGTGGGTTCCAACAGATAGCTCGAGCAGACCTCGGAGGCAGGTCGATGATTTCTTCTTGGTTATATTTGGTTTGTTATCATTGTACATTTGTTCCTAACCTAGTGGCAGGTTGAGAGAAGAAAAAATCCACCATGACTAAGGCCTCCGGGCTGGGTGGTCGATCCTAGTGTTGGGTCGTCAAGACATGGAGCCTATCGAAGACCTCAGTGGCAGGTCGATCAAACTCGCTAAGATTAGCTCGAGCAGGTTAACGGGTTTATTTGATTTGGTTTTGCGGTATCTATGCTTTGGACCTCAGTGGCAGGTCGACCAAGTTCATTATGGAAAGCTTGAGCATGTTAATGGCTTATTTGATTTGGTTTTGCTGTATTTGTGATTTTGATCCCAGTGGCGGGAGTTTATTATGGATAATTTGAGCAGATGGATGGTTTTATTTGGTTTGTTATGTTGTATTTGTGATTTTGATCCCAATAGCAGGTTGATTGCGTTTTATCTTGGTTTTGTCGAATTGATTTTTCGACTTTAAAGGCAGGGAGATGGGACTCATTCCCCACGAGCAGGTTGATTGCGTTTTATCTTGGTTTTGTCGAATTGATTTTTTGACTTCAAAGGCAGGGAGATGGGATTCATTCCGTCACGAGCATGTTTATTTCGTTTTATCTTGGTTTTGTCGAATTGATTTTTTGACTTCAAAGGCAGAGAGATGGGATTCATTCCGTCACGAGCATGTTTATTTCGTTTTATCTTGGTTTTGTCGAATTGATTTTTCGACTTCAAAGGTAGAGAGATGAGATTCATTTCGTCACGAGCAGGTTGATTGCATTTTATCTTGGTTTTGTCGAACTGATTTTTCGACTTTAGAGGCAGGGAGATGGGATTCATTCCGTCACGAGCAGGTTGATTGCGTTTTATCTTGGTTTTGTCAAATTGATTTTTCGACCTCCGTGGCAGGCCGAGTATATTCATTATTGCTTGAGTAGGTGGTTGATTGTTGATTCTGGTTTGTCGGTTCAAATTTTCAAATTTAAGATTTCAGGGAATAGTCATTCAGTTCATGTCCTTCGACCACACCGGCGATTATCCGGGATCTTTTGTTTTTAGGTTCTCGTTCTCAACGGCCCCTCGGTTCTCGGCTTTCTACCTCAACGGTCTATCGATTCTCGGTTTTTGACCTCAGCGGTCTCGACTCTCGATTTTCGACCTCAGCAGTCTCGATTCTCGGTTTTCGACCTCAGCGGTCTCGACTCTTGGTTTTTTACCTCAGTGGTCTCAACTCTCGGTTTTTTTACCTCAGCGGTCTCGACTCTCAGTTTTCGACCTCAACGGTCTCTCGACTCTCGGTTTTCGACCTCAACGGTCTCTCGACTCTCGGTTTTCGACCTCAGCGGTCTCAACTCTCGGTTTTCAATCTCAGCAGTCTCGACTCTCGGTTTTCGACCCCAGCGGTCTCAACTCTCGGTTTTCGACCTCATCGGTCTCGACTCTCGGTTTTCGACCTCAGCGGTCTCGACTCTCGGTTTTCGATCTCAGCGGTCTCTGGACTCTCGGTTTTCGACCCCAGCAGTCTCGACTCTCGATTTTCGACCTCAACGGTCTCTCGACTCTCGATGTTCGACCTCAACAGCAGATCATTCAGTTTTCGACCTTAGTTGACGTTCGACTTCCGGTGTTCGACCTCAGTGGCAAGTCATTGAGTTCTTGTCTTTATTGATAAATCTTTCGGTTTTCGACCCTGACGTCAGATCATTCGGTTTCTGACCTCCGTGGTCTTTCAGTTTTCGATCTTGAAATCTCAAAGGTCATTTGGAGGATACTTCAGTGGTTATTCAATGGTCATTCGACTTTCGATGCTCGATCTTAGTGGCAAGTTGAAGAAAACAGCTAAAAGAGGCATTTCACTCTTGGATCGAGTTATGTTTACTCGACCAGAGTGGGGGGGACTAGATGATATATGATATTATACTACACCTGGTTTAATGGAGAAAACGAATTATATTGGAAGATAAGCCCACGTATAGACTAAGCATCACGATATGGGCCAAGCCCAACTTGAGCCCACAAAGGTACACTCCCCCTATAAAAGAGGGGCTAATGTACCTCATTCTCTCGATTCTCTATTTATTCCATACTACTCTCTCTCTCTCTCTTGATCCGAGCACTGACTTAGGCATCGGAGGCCCGACGCCGGGGCCACCCCCGGCGTTGGGTTCTGCAGGTATGGAGTGTTGGAACCCATGAGGATCTCGATATGCACAAATCACAGACAAACATTCAACATAAACCTATGCGCAGCGGATCTAAAGGTTTGATGAAGAAAACTTACTGCTTAAAATTTATGTAGATTTGGCTGGCCCGAACAGTTGACTGCAAATCAAATCTTCTCGGAATCGAACAAACTTGACCAATCCAGAAAGCTGACGTCACGGTGAAGTCAACGGCGTTGACCGATCAGAAAACGAACCTTCCACGCGCTCTCACGCGCGCGAGTGACTCCCAGCAGAAGCGAACTCCCGGTGGCGCGTGTGGGCGCGTGCGGCGGCGATCTCGACGGCGATCTCTTCGTCTCGTCGTCCTGGTCGTCGTGGTATGGTCACTTGCTGGTTTTGGTCTCCGGTTTGGATGTATGATTGGAATCTCTATATACCTTAAGATCTTCTACTGTATTCTCAAACAGCTTTCTAGATCTTGTATCAGTGGAGCACAAGAAATAGAAGAACTCCTTGGAAAGAGAGAGAGAGAGAGAGGCGGCGTGATTACCAAGGATGTGGGATTGTCTCTTCTCTTCCAAGAGCCTAATGCTGTATATATAGAGCTACAGTAGGGACCCTAAGGAGAATAGGATAAGGGCTTCTAATATATTAATACTGTGGAGCTACCCCACAATTAATATATTAATAATATTAAAGTCCACCACAATAATATTATTGCACTCCCCTCACCTATCCCAAATTACATTTGAGACTCCTTATTATAATTATCCGATTTACCTCCCCATATTTAAGATATAATGTCCATTAATTAATTCGATCATTAATAATCAAAAATTAATTAATATATTATATTACCGAAGCTAGCGCTCGCTCATAGC